GGTAGTGAGGCACTGGAACAGGCTGCCCAGGGAAGGGGTTGAGTCACCATCCCTGGAGGTATTTAAAGGATATGTACATGTGGTGCTTAGGAACATGGTTTAGTGGTGGACTTGGCAGTGCTAGGTTAATGGCTGGACTTGACAATCTTAAAGGTCTTTTCCAACCTAAACGATTCTATGATTCTATGAACACCCACAGACCAAACAAGCCAGCTCCAGGTGGAACAACAGTTAGATAGATGTCTATCCAAAATCATTGCCCTAAATACATACATCAACTCACTGTGTGAAGCTAACCAGGTGGCAATTCATACAGAACTGCTGCATTGATCTGAGGCAGCTGTGTCCTGCTTGAGAAGGCCTCCTACAAACCCTGCATGAGAAGAGCAGCCATCCTACCCCACGTGCCACATAATCCAGAGCACAGCGTGTAGGCTGCTGTTGTGATTGTTGCTGGCACCAGCTTAGCCTTGGCACAACAGACCAAGCCACACCCGAACCTGTTGAGCTTGCTCCAGAGACAGCGATGCATCCAGAGAGATGTTCATGCATCCGGTGGATGAAGGGGGAGCTTCCTCTTCCCTGCAATGAGTTGGCATTGCTCTTGGATGTACCTGGGGAGCTTCTGCAATGACCCTTTAAAAGAAACAGCAAAACAGTTCCCAACATGCATGGACCAAAAGGACCACAGGTTCAACGAACATCCTTACCACGGAGATGGAATATCACAGAATCTAGGAAGGAGTTCAAGTCTTCAGGGGCTATTCAAATAGCCACATGGTCAACCTGGCTTTTTCTTGTTGGGGATTTTTAAGACAAATTTAAATTGCATCCCAGAAGTTACTCATGTAAAATTGACTGCCTGGGCTTCTTGTATAGCTGCTGGAGCAAGCACAGAAAGTCCACGTGTTATTCCTCCCATCCAGAACAGTCCGTGAAGTGGGTGATGATGTTCCTCCCATCTGGAGGAGCCTCTGAGACAGGTGACATGAGCGTGCCTTTCTGGATGGTCTCATTTCCCTCTATGGACCCTAAGGGACCTGGAGAGCTCACTCAACTCCTGACTTTCAGGTGGTGAAAGTAATGCGAGTTGAGCCGTCCTCCATCAGACCCATGTCACGGAGACTGCGCCAAGGATGAACATTTTCAAACCATAAAGACAATTCACAAACAGACCCAAGCTTAACTCTTTGAGCACAACTGATGCAGCAACCTGCCAGCCTCCACAACCCACATCCATCTCTGCCCACCTCCAGTCAACCCAAATAATAAATGGGAATAATAAATTCTAGTACCTAAATTCATGCTCAAGGAAATGCTTCTACATTCTTGCAGGACCATTTTAATCAGCTCAAAACAGAAAGCCTAAATGACTAAAATCCTGCAGATGTCTCAGAACAAAGATCTAGCTACTTTTCAGCACTGCTGGACATAAACTTGTGATCTTTACAAGCCTCGTCAGCAGAGCAGAGTGTAGATGAATAAGTACA